TTTTTTTTTTATACTCCTCTTTCAATTAATTAGTCAACTGCATTTCTTCTTCTCTTTCCAAAAAACATCAAGGTTCTTTTTTTTTTCTGTTGATGAAATGCTTTTTTTTCCTTTATAAGCCACTGTATCGGTGGACAAACGTCTCTGAAACGGGCACCCAGTTTTTCACTCAATTTCCGTATTTTTCTAGCAACTAACAACGAGAAAGCAGTTTTTGAACCTTTTAAGCTACCTTTTACCTCATCTTTTAGCCTGTAGTAGGTTAATGTTCTGTTTCTTACTTTCTAGATGGTCTAAGAGTATGTATTCTGGAGGCCAAAAAAATTGCTTCTTTTTGCAGAGTATTCAAATACACTTCTTCCCGTTTGTGGCCTAATTTCATTTAATAAAATATCATTTTCACAGAGCATAACTTAGCTGTTTGTATGGAATTATTGTCAAAAAGAGAGGTGTTTCAGCTCTGAAATAGTTTAGGAACAAAAGTGGAAATGCTTAGTTTGGGCACTGTTGCCGTATGTCACCACTCTGATGCTTCTTTCATCGGTGTCTGAGCTTCTGAGTTCTCCTTTACAACATTTCCAAATTGAATAATTTTTACAAAAGTTTTCAATACCTTATTTAAACACTTTTTCTTTCCCCCTATTTTGTTTTTAAAAGTTTTACCTAACTTTTCTTTTCGCTTTATTAGCGCTAGCAGAGCAGTAAAAATTAGTCTATATTCAACCACGATGCACTAATTTTAAATTCCAAGAATCAAAATAGATGTTTTAGACTGAAAATTCTATAAGACATAATTGATAATAAATGTTTCAAAAACAGAAGAAAAAGTTGTTTTGACTGATTTTTTAATGAATAAATTTTAAATTTTAATTAAAAAAACTGAAAATCTAAAGGTGCATATTGTTGTTTTTGCAGGTTAAATCCATCCTTTTTTTTTGAAATGTTTGAAAGTATAAATAGAAAAATGAAAGAAAAAGTAGAAAAAAATTGAGGAAAATGATTACTTTATTGCATAAACTGTTTAAGAATTGTTCAGTATTTTGATAAGAAAAAAAAAAA